CCCATGTCAGCTGAACATGGTACATTTTCTCCCCTTGCAAACATTATGGATATTGTTAATTTTGCCTACATTTGAACTGCTGGAGCAATCTCCAATTTTTTTAAACAATCTATTTATACTTCTAGCATTAAATCACTTATCACTTTCATTTTTTATTGCCACTTTTACCTCCAACAGTCCTAATTTCTAACTGATAAAACCAAATCATTCTGGATTGGGCGCACTTCTCCTCCTACACTAATGTTACATTAGCATAACTACAGCTTTCAGTGAAATTAGTCTTGTTCACTTTGCTGGGAAACAAAGAAAAAGAATCAGTCCTACTGTTTCCTCCCTAATACACTTACAGGAGGAGTTTAGTCCACAAATAAAATAATATGCATGACCCAATGCTGGAGGGAGAATTACTCAGTATGGACAAAGAGTATTGCAGCAAATCTGATGTTTCATTGTCACTAATTATTTTCACCAAGAAAACTGGCTCATTTCAGTTATCACAACACCTGCAGACACTAGAATTAGACAGTAGACATTAGTATGAACACCAAATAAACCAAAATAAATTCAGTCCTACGTCTGCATTGAAACAACTCCACAAATACCACAAGGGAAATTATAAATGAGCTTGACTGGACTCTAATGTGTTACAGATAATTGCACATCTAAGCAAATCAAGCATGGCCTGCAGATCTCATCTTTCCCCCACTGCTTTTGACTGTTCTCACAACGGTTGTTCTGTTACAGGAAAAAAAAAAAAAAATTAAAAAAAAAAAAATCAGGGGACTGCAGCAGTGTGAGAACCTGTTACACACAACCCAGGCCCTGGGTTTTGCCCCAGGCCAGTATAAAACCCTGGGCTCTGCAAAGCTTTGTCACTGCTGACTTATTCAGTCCTTTACACTTCTAAAACAAATACTCACCTTTGATTTTCACTTCAAAGGTCCTGCTTCAGCAGGCTTAATGAGAAAAAAAGAAATCACAAAGCAAATTAAGGATTAATCATTGTGCAATTCCCTTAGATAACTTAATTGTCTCATCCTCAGTGTTTTGCAGTGTAATTAACTACATCTCAGAACCAGAGGTAAAACATGCTTCAGTTCAAGGTCACAAAACAAGCAGAAGGAGGCAAGAACAGAGGCGAGATGTCCTGACTTGTCACCTCTACTCAGACCCCTGCTTCAGCCACTAGGTAGCATCCACTCTTCAAGTTGACACAAAACCCAAAGTCAGTGCTAGCTGCTAACTAAAAATATGAGAACAGAGGCTGGGAAAAGGAGCCTTTCACATTGATCATATAAAGGAACTGCAGCTTAAGGCAGTGTTTTTGAGCAGTATGTCTGACAAATAGACTTGTGTACAAAGTTATCTAGCTCTTTTTACACATCCTTGTAAAAACTTACAGCAACTATGGACTTAGAAGATTCAAGAACCATTTCTGAATTCAGCTGTAATTTACACTTCCTTGCTGAGCTCTTTATCATCCTAATGGCCCTGCCAAAACTAGAATAAATTCCTCCAGACATATCATTAAGGTATTTAGTAATCACTACAAGACAGTGACATAATTCACTGAACAGAAAATACCCCAAAATGCTGTTTCTGTCCCTTTGCAGTTACTGAAGTGCCTTTATGAAATTCTATTTGTCTGCAAAGTGAAGATATGGATGGATTTACACATAACATAGAAATGGCCCATTTAATTAGGAGCTGGGATGTTTAATGGCTAGTATTAATTTCTGTTAAACACTGAGACAAAACTCTCAGCTGAAAGCTCTGAATTCAGACAGTTGTTCAGGATTCATTTTACTTCAACGGCTCAAAGGTGAATTTCAGATGCAACTGCACAACTAAGAAATCTGAGTTATGAGCAAATCAAGAGACCAACACTCAGAACTGAGAAGACCTAGAGAAATTGCTCCCAAGTGGCCATCCCACCTCCATCTCAGGCTGTAATAAGTACCCTCTGCTGCAGCCCCACGGGACAGTGAAGTTAGACAGGTGCAATTTGTTCCTTACCCAAAAGCCTGATCACCATACTCCACAAAGCATGAAGATGGAGAGATTGTGCAATTGCCATCCCAGCTATTATCACCAGCTGTGCTGCTCCAGCCCAGCTCCCTGCCCCTTCGAAGAGGTCACTTATATGTAAGAGCAATTCCTCAAACAACAATCCCCAAAACTCACTCTAAGGCAAGCAACCAGCTCCAAGCATTCGCAAGATGCCGCCTCTCGGGGTGGGAGCAGTGAAGACTATTCATTGTTTTCCAAAATTTCAGCATCAGAAAGCAGAGTGAAGGAGAGGTCTGGCATCTGAAATGACACATTCTGTCAGCCCAAGGACCCACAATTAAAAACAAAGTCTTTCTTTCCTTCTTGGAGTAAAGCCTGGCCAAATCTCTCCAGCCCTCAGCTGGATCAGCAGGGGAGAAGCATCCCCCTTTTGAGCTCTTACAAAGGCACCGAGCGGTGCCGGTCCCGCTGCAGGGCAGGACTCACGCAGCCAGCCAGCACGACTGGCCTTGCTTTTCATCTACAAACTTCACTCTTTAAACATGCTGAGCACAGGAAACCCTTCAGTGCCTGTATTACCAACCTCCTAATTCTTTTCCTGCACAGTCCTAAGAACATGGTGAAAATAAACTGAGCCTTCCATTGCCTGTGAAAAAGCAAAGGAAAAGCTTGTGCATGGCAACTAATGCAAAGCTCATTTTACACTTTTCAGTCACTGATACACAAAGTGCAAACCCCTGCATTCCCTGATGGAAATACAGGGTCTCCAGGGAGACCTTATAGCACTTTCCAGTACCTAAAGGAGCCAGAAGTGAGCTGGAGAGGGATTTTTACAAGGGCATAGAATGACAGGACAAGAAATAATAGATAGAGGACAGGCTTAGATTAGATATAAGGAAGAAATTCTTCCCTTTGAAGGTGGTGAAGCCCTGGCTCACCTTACAGGTTATTCAGAGAGGTTGTGGTTGCCCCATCCCTGGAAGTGTTCAAGGACAGGCTGGATGAGGCTTTGAGTAACCTGGTCCAGTGGAAGGTGTCCCTGTCCATGGCAGGGGAGTTGGGATTAAATGAGCTTTATAGTGACTTCCAACCCAAATAATTCCATGGCATTTCCTCAGTAAAAATAAAAATACCAGCCATCTTCCACATGCACAAAACCCCACATTTTTCTTTGTTGCTTGTAGGTTACTGATTTTCAATTGTTCAAGTATATGTGAATCTGTAAGACTTCAACTCTAACCACCCTGCATGTGCTTTTATGTTACAGAGCAGTTTCAGGCAGCAAAATGTCAAAATAAACAAGATAAACAGGTAATTGTGACAAGCTTTCCCAAGGGTAGAAAAACATTAGCAGCACCTGCTGCGTTTTCCATCTGTTCTTAAGTACCCAGGAGGAAAAAGCCTAGAACTTTTGTGTAACAAATAATTTGAAATGTATGACTGGTCTTGATTCCTCTAGGAAAACACAGGCTGTGTCAATAAATAAATAATCACAGCTATACACATGTCTATACAATGAGGAAAGCAGTATAAGGTCTACTCTAGAATCCAAAGGGCTTCAAGCCAAAGTGCAGTTCTTTTTCCTACACCGGTCTGTTCCTCTGTTTCAGTGGTGGCCTGCAGGGAAGGAATGAGCCTGGGAAGGAGGGGAATTTCTGGTCTAGGAGACATCAGAAGTCTCAGTGGAATCAATTGCCCTCAAGGTTTGCAGACAAAGGCTGGGCTACCACTTTGATGCAAGGCTTGGTTATGACTAACCAAAGCAGGTTTAACCTGTGTCATTGCCCAAGTATTTAACGCTTCTCACACCCCCAGGCAGGGCTAAGGGCTTGGTGCCACCAGCTCAGCCAGGAGCACAGCAGCTCTGTGAGGACAGGTGGGCTGGGAGGGACACAGCCAGGGCAGGGCAGCAAGGACAGGTCCTGTGTGTAAAAAACACCCCTTGTCACCACTTTAATTCCTCCATCACCACCAGCAGGGCAGAGAAAGCCACAGGCTACGAGGACAGAGCAGCTCTGTTTCCCACAGGAGACAGCTGCTTTCTGGAACACCTTTTGACTTTGCCATCAAGAGCATTGTGCCAAGGCAGCAATCCCACCACCCTCAGCACCCCTGGGGCAGAACTGCCCCCTCCTACCACCAGCGAGGTGTCTCCTGGTTTAGTCTCACCAGTCCCCACTGGAGCTGGATGTGGTCCCAGTTTTGCAGCACCTCGTGGCGCTGGAGCCCTGTGGTGCCCCGGGGGTGGCACAGCAGCCACAGCACACAGCCCGGGGGCAGCTCATTAGCCCCATCCTATCCCTACCTGGCCCAGCTGTGCCCAGGTCGCCGTTCCTACAGCTTGGGGCTCTCTAGAGCCAGACACAAACCAAAAGAAAATTGTCTTTTGGGAGCACTTGACAGTAACCATTTTATTTACAACTACGTCATAGCTAGGGAGGGAAAGAGAAAGAAGATTGAAAGCAAAATGCTACATAAACTACCAATACATGGGTTCATTTAATAGTTTCCAAAGTGTTCTCTGGTTTTCTCTAGGTTTCTTTAGTTTTCCTTACTGTATTGCCTGTTTCTCTGCAGCCAGATACCCATTCCCTGCCACCTGTGTGTCCCTGTCCCATAAAAATCCTTGGGTCATTTTTTATATTAAGGGGTTTCTTAACTTCATTGTCCTGGCCAGATCCCAGTTTAGTACAATCCCTTCAAATACTTCTCTCTTATTTCAACCAAAAATGTCTATTACAATTACTTCCTGCAAATGGTTTTGGAGCTTTTTCCATGCCCTTTTTTTTTTTTTTAATTTCAAAACACCTGTCACTTTTCGCCCAGATGATGGTTGTATTTTGATGCCACATTAAACCTCTATCCTACACACTTATCAAAACCAGTGGAAACTTACCTCGAGGCAAAGCAACCTGCTTACAGTTCAGAAAACAATTTTGCATCCTATTTCCAGGGAAATTCAGAAATTTTGCTTGCAGAAAAAGCACAAGGAAGGACATAACAGTTTATTTAATGTGCTATGTATAAAATATTCTACATACAAAATAAATTTTGTGCTTCAACTGGACAGACATAAACTTTGATGGCTGAAGTCTATTTAAAAGGTAATCTAAGCAAGCTGTGACTGTACAGACATTGCACCTAATCTAAAAGACATTAAAGTCTCCCTGATCTCTCAGAAGCAATCATTTGAGTTAAAAACCTTATCAGGAGACATGCTTGGAAGAAAACATAGAAATATATTTCAGTTAATGGTTCAGACCCCCCTTGTTTGCTCTGGAAACCAACCCTGTACTGTAAATTCTATCTCTGCTGTACAGTACTTATAGCCCATGAATAATGGATATTATAAACAGCAGTAGAAAATGAAAATTCAGTTAACAATATTATGGAGCTTCCATTCACAAGTGTAGTTCATGAATGATATGAATTTTATGGTTCTTATCACCAATGAAAAAAATTTACATATCCCATCACAGAGTTCTTATAAGAACGTATTCTGCATTTCTTATCTCAGGGTTTTTGTGGTAAGAAATATCACATTAGGTCCAGTGATTTACATTTTTCCAATAAAATTTTAAATACATATGCAGTAGCTCTTTACTGACTGGTTTCATGTTATAAATTATAAGCTTGGAGGTAAATACATTGGGACAAATATTGGTTTCTAAATAGCCACTATGAGAGAGATTTTATCCTGGTATTAAATTACCACACCTCTGGCATTTTATATCTGTCTATCTCCCAGTTACTATACTTTGTGACAAGTAAGTAAATAAATAACACTGCCTTACTTCTGACAGTTCAATTCATTCTGTTCCACATGGCAGAAACAGCAGGTACAAGTCCATGAAAGGGTTTTCTGGCAGCTCTGCACAGAGAGAAATTTTGAGATTTGCCACTATCATAAACACTGCTTTCAGTGTGTCACATCACCAAGCATTGCAGGCTTCACTGTAGAAGCAGCAGGTGAAGTCCAGTGCCTGTTGGAATAGATTAGGGGAAAAAGTAACAATACTGCTTGGGGATGTAATTGAGTTAATAGTCCTTGTTCATTCAACATGTCTGCTCCATGGCTTCTCAGCAATTCTTTGGTTTAACACAAGTTCTTTGTTCTACTGGATAATCTCAGCCTCTAGTACCTTAACACCATGGCTGTATGTGACATCTGGTTAGGAAACAGCTCAAGCTGCAGTTACAATTGGACCCTCCATACTCCCATATTCATTGCTCCAGAACCAGCACAGACTCCCCCAGAACAGCTCCAGTCAAGTCAGCACAGGAATATAATCAGTGCAACCTGTGGCTAGAACCTATTGGCTGAAGAACTGAGTGAGTACAGCAAAACCTGCCCCAAAACAGAGGTGGGGAAAAGAACACCAGTAGAACATCTTGGATACAGCATCCTCACAAAGCTGCGTGATGGACACTGAGTGTGTGTCAGCCCTCACTGTGCCCCCAGCCCAGGGTGACCCTTCTGTCCCATCCCTTCCCTACAACCCCACCACCTTGTACCCTGACTTGCAACCACCCTGGCTCCCACAGCCTCCTACTCCCAGCTCAGCTGTGCTGTCCTTCCCAGGAAAGAGCAAGGAAATGGGTATGACAAACTCTGCTCCCACAGCACCCCCCGGACACACACATGGATAGGCACGGATAGGGACAAGAAAGACAAAGGACATTGAAGGAGCACACAGTGAGAAGACCAAGGGCTCCATGGAGAAAGTTTCTTCCCTGATGAGGAAGGCAAGAGTGCATCAGGCAGCTGGATAGCAGACAAGTGGAAGAAAACATGTGGATCCAAGGAGATGTCTCAGATGCCCTGGGTCATTCACCTCCAGGTCCAAGCTGGGCTGCTGAGATATGTGTGAACTCAAGCAGGTTTGTCAATTCAATCTGCATTCTGGGAGTCAACAAAACTCAAGCTGATGTTCCAAATATTTATTAAAAAGTAACTGCTAGTGGAGGAAAAAAAATCAGTAAGTAGTCCAATGGCAGATTTATTACATTTTTAACAGGTAAAGGGAATTAATCTATTTTATGAACAAAAATGGCAATAGGAAAGTATACTGAAGGATCCTAAATCAAACATTAAAATGGAAACAGCATATGCAATATACATTTATATATAAATATATTGGTTACATTCTTCTTAAATTGATGAAACAACATTCATTAGCAACACCCAAAAATATTTCTTTGTGGCAAGAGATTAATCTTTCTACATAGCCATACTGCCTCTCCATAAGTTTCTACAACAACAATTTTAGAGCTTGGGACTATAATAGGTATTTGACACACCGTATCAAACCCAGAGCAAGTGATTTGAAACTAGTTTATGTGAGATCCCAATGAGACTTAAGACCAGATATGCAACAGGTGGAACTGGCAGAATGTGATCAAAATTGTGGGATCTCACTGGAATCTCAAATTTGGACTAAAGCTAGATTCTCATAGGGAAACTGTGACACTGCTCAGCATTCTCAGCTAAAACACACTTCCCTTTTTCTGTAAACAAATGCTAACAAAAATAAACTCTCTGTACCCTGTTAACCATTTCCTAACATAAAAATAAGGAGCTGCTCGAGTAGTTGAATAAATCAATATAAAACTCCATCCTATCCTAAGCGCTGCCTCTCTCAAAGTGCTAACAAATGGCACAGTGTTTCCTGTTTGAGGCTACATTCCCTGCTTTCCATGGTTCATATTACAAACCTCAGCTCCAGCAGGACTGAGCTGAAGCCTCCAGCCGTGGTGGCTGAATCAGCCCAGCCCTGGGCACCTCGCTGGGACACCCAGAGCCCTTCTGAACAGATTGTGCCAGGGCTGTGCTCCCTGTGCTGCCAGAGCCACCCCCAGCCTGCAGGGTGGGCACTGCAGGGAGCTGCTCAGACCACTCCAGCACAGCAGGTACTTTGCCTGTCCCCTGCAGAGATCTGGGCAGGAGCTGCTCAGAGCCTGTGGCAGAAGACAGCAGATCATTTTGCATAGTTTGGTTGAGTGGAGACTCTGCGAGTCCTGCAGAGATGCCCTATCATGCTCCTGCTGCTCCCACTCCTGCCAGATGTAGAAGGGACTCTCACAGCTTGCCTGTTCAGCACCTCTTTGGACTTAGTTTGGTTCAAATAACTTGCTGGCTGTTAACTTTGAAGCCTGAATAAGAAATAGTGCAAATACAAGCTTAAAGAATAAAATAAAAAAAACCCCATACCACATTACCTTCACTGAACATTCAGTTAAAAAGACAAGAATACATAAGATGAAACCCCAGCTTTGGGGTATTTGAGATATTTGGCAAACTTGCACAAGATTCTTCACAATTGTCTTAAAGCAGTATATTTCACTTGGCACTAGATGCTTCAAATTATTTGCTAATGTGATTCTAACTAACACTGTTGTGGCTAATTGCAAATGACTTTGAAGACTAGTCATGGAACACGGGACATCTCCCAGGCGTGATGGGACAAACACTGCCTGCAGTTATGTGCCCTCAGTGCTTTTCTTATCCAAGTTTAACTCAAAATTATTTTGCTTGCATGGAATGGTGTGAATTCATCCAGGGTGGTTTTTCTGGAAGGCGAACAGACAACAGTTATTTCTGAGGGTCAAAATACCTTTATTTGGCCATGCTGAGGCAGATTAAGAGGCCAAAACAGAACTCAGTTTGATTCCTATTATGGGAGGCTGGCTGCAGTGCATTTTAAAACAACATTCATCTGAAGTGGCTTAGATGTTCAAGTTTGAAACTTCCTAAGTGCCAGGGCACCCTATAAACGCAGGGCCCCCCTGCTACTGCAGTGACCTTCACCACACGGCAGCAGCAGCAGAGACACTCGGTCCTCATGGAGGCAATGCAGCATACAAAGTTCCTTGGACCACTTCAGAAAGAGTCTTAATTTCTTTCAATTCCTCTTCCCCAAAAAAATCAGCAGAAGGGACATTCAGCAGCAAGTTGGTTTCAGAAAGCAGTGCACAAATGGCTTACTATTTTCACTAGAGATTAGGCACACTGCCTGCTCAGGCTTTGGGGAAATCCTACATACCTCCATCTCCAGGTGCCTACAAAGTCTGGTCTTGGTCTTTCAGGGCTCAGTGCTGGGAAATAGTCCTGCCTTCACTAGAACCAAAGAGAGTAAACTGCAGTCCTTGACCAGGGGCAGGGCTGCCTGCTGTCCTCATCAGACCCCCAGGGCTCAGACCTGCCCCTCTCTGCTGTGCCCCTCTGCACACCTGCATCAAGGCAGGGGTGCTAACCTGAAGGTAGAGTTGCACCAGGGGAGGCTCACCTGTTGATTTTATGTGATTGTTTCAAAGCAGGATCCACATTTAAAGCCATAAAGAGATGAATTCACAATGAAGCTAAGGAAACAAAGAAGTCATATCTACAGACAGCTGCCATCACACACACACACACACACACACACACCTTTCATACTCCATTAAAGAAACAGCCTTATCTTTGCCCATGTGCTTATGTCTAATATGATACTGGCTTCCCCAGAACTTCATGACATTGTTTCCAATGATACAGACAGCACAGTCCAGGCTTAAACAGAACTGATGCATAATTATGCTTAAGTAGCTTTTGTCTCCCCACTCCGTGAATTAATTACAGTTCTGTACATGAATAAAATGGGAAAAAATCTCCACGTTTTCTCCCATCAGCAAATTAATGTTCTGTGATGGGCAAAAGGAGGGATTTTTGTAAAAACACTGCCTTCCCCTTCTGCCTTTGTCTGCAAGTGCAAACGTTACTGGAACTTAAAAGTCGCAATCTGCGTTGCACAGATGGGACTCTGCTATGTTCATCTTTTTTATTGTGATGTTTGTAGCAGTGACTTTAGAAAGATGTTTGGAATGACTCCTGGCCATGACAGGATACTGCCTAAATTAGAGTCAGGCTCGAAGTATCTTACTGCAATTAGATTATGTCATATGTCATATACTTACTCACGGCCTGGGAAGGAGAGTGCAAGGGTACTTAATGTCTGTAGATACTCAATTAAAATGAGTGCATCAGACACACACTGGTCTGGCTTCTGCCTGCCTCACATCTAGCCCAGACTAGTTCTTAAACCTCAAAAGAAAAGAAAACGGAAAACACACACCATGCCCATACATACACCTGCTGGCTAATATGGTTACTTATCTAAAAGGTAAAAAGCCATGCAGGTTACACTTTGTTTGATACAGTTCAGGTTAAGTTAATGCTAGAAAAATAGAATTCATAAGGAGGGGAGAAAGGTTTGTGTGTAATAAATGGCAATTTTGCTGTCTCTTGAAGGTTGCATTTCAAGCATAACTGCATTTCTCCATGCACTCTGAACACTTCCCTTTTCGGGTATTGGCATGCTTGTGGCAAAAGCAACCAAACCAATTAATTAGGCACACAGTGAAAGATGATATATATATATAAAAAAAAAGATCAGTCATTTCTGTTCTGAAAATCCTTATTGAAAGCCTTGATGTCACAGCAATAAGCTAAGCATGAAAGGTTGCAGACTCCTTCCTTGCATGAGGGCAACACCAGCTGTGCAATTAACACAGCTAGAAAGGCTCTTATATATTATATATACAACTGTAATCCAGAATAAATAGTACTGGTACTGTCCTGACTCATAGGTGTATTTCAGCATGGTTGTTGTTGGTTGTTATGGCTGGAGAATGCTTGCTTTTCATCCCTTCTGTCCCGCCCTTGGACACATCAATGAACAGCAGCCTGGGAGTCCACAGTGTCAGCAATATCCTTTTGTATTCCTTCCGAAAATTCTGGTTAAGAAGCCCATAGATCACAGCATTGAGGCAGCTGTTAAAATAGGCCATAAAATAGCTCAGGACAAAAAGCCATTCTGGAATGTGTGGCTGCACTTTTGAAGGATTAATTGAAACAGCAAGGCCAATAAAGTTTAATGGTCCCCAGCACACAGCAAAAAGGACAAAAACCACAAACATAGTCAAGAAGTTTCGGATGTCAGCTGCCCTGAGTTTCTGCTTGCAGTCTTGTCTCACCCGGTGTTTGACTTGAATCACCAAAATCCAGATCCGTAGGTAGCAAAACGTCACGACGGAGAGTGGGACGATGAAGTGAACCACCACCACCGTGATGGTGTACGACGTGCTCACCGTCTGGGCAAAGGTGCAGGAGTAAATCCGGGGGTCGTACTGCAAGGAGCCAACAAAGAAGTTTGGCACAATTGCCACCACTGTGAGTATCCAGGTCAGGCAGAGATAACAGCAGGTGTTCTTCAGGTTGAAGAGCTTATCATAGCGAAGGCTGTGGCAGATGTAGCAGTAGCGGTTGATTGCGATCGCTGTGATGTTGAAAATGGAGCCGATGACACTTAAGCCCATCAGGAACCCACTTATCTGGCAGTGGACATTTCCCATGGTCCATCCATTGTGGAAGATGGCACTTAAGATCAGAGGGTACGGATAAACTGCAACCACAAGGTCTGCAACGGACAAGCTGACAACAAAGATGTTGCCTACAAAAAAGAAGAGATCACGAGAGGTTAGTGTAGGTCCAGATGGACAACTTGCAACTCAAAACTCCTCTTTGGGCCTAAGTCTTCTGATGGGCTTCACTCTACTCTCCACTTGGAATTTGAAACCCTAGAAAATAAGACTTTGCTCTACTAGTGACAGCAAGGGAGAGTGCATGACTGACCTGCATGTTCCTTCTCAGGAACAATCTACACTAGAAGTGTTACCCTGAACTTGGTTACAGCTGGGAGTTAACTGGGAGTACAGCTGTGGTCCTCTAAGTTGTGTAGGAGAGAAGGACTTTGTTCTCATTAACCAGCCAGCTTGACTCTCTCTGACCATCATGGGCCAAAGGAGTATGGTAGGCAGGTTATGTTTTCAGTACTTTATTCATTTCACTGACAGCAGTTGCACAGGAAAAGTCTCTTTTATTCTTTTGCATGTAAGCAGGTATGCATTCACCAGAATTTCTGCCCTGTTCATGCTAACGATTGTGTGTTCTTCAAGGAACCATGATGCAGGCAGCCTTGATTGCTTATCTTATTTGGTATATTTTCCTGTCTTTTTAATGTTAAATATGGAAGGTCTGTCACTTCCTTACTGTCTGATCCTGGGCAGAGAATGTGATTAACAAGCTGCAGTCAGTCATCTCTGCAAAGTATGTGCTGCAGGTTGTTCATTTAGGCTCTACAACAGAGATTTGAGAGTCTCTGCAAGTATAAAATAATTTAAGCCTTATTGGATTGAAAATGCTGCATTGTGTGGGACAACATATGCCAGCTCCACCGTAAGGAGCAGCCTCCAATGACCCAGGTGACCAGTGACCTTCTAACAGCACTTCCTGCTCATTTCATTAGTCTGATGTATTTTTAGGGAGGCAAAAAGCCTTTCTGTTCAGTTTGCCAGTCAGAATAGAGGATTGCATTAAGAAAAGGACCCCGAGGTCTTGTGGGAGCTGGTGTAACTACAGGATTAGCTATAATGTTGAAAAGGACATCTGTCAGTACTCAGCATTTTGGTGACCACACAGAATGTCATTTCAGCAGGACCTCAACACTTCAGTTAGAGGACAGCACACAAGAAAAAGTAGTTGGTTTTCCTAACTATGCAATTTTCAGTTGTATCTGCAGCAGTGGGAAGGAAAATATTACTAGACAGCAGATATATATATATACATAGAGAAAGTATATATAGAGAATAGTTATATGTAACACATTTAAGGTGTGAAGACCTGTGTCCCTATGTGACACAGGCAACATCCCATCCAATTGATCATATGTGCACCTCCTCTTCAAAACCTCATATCCTGCTGTCTAGTGAAGTAGAAACCTATTTTAAAAATCACTAAAAAGAGGTATTTTTGTGTAGTATCCCTAAAAGGACTCCCTTACATCTTGATTCAACCAGGTCACAGCCTTTAGCACTTGGAAAAGACATCCAAAGGCTGTTGGAAAGCATGGCTGCATTGCCATTGCAGTTGGGTCATGGCTATGTTTGTGCCAACAAAAACTATTAGGACAAGTCAACAGCTCATATCAGGCCACTTCATGCTGCCCGGAAAGCAGTCCAGACTGGAGAATAGCCCCCGGCAGTGTGCAGCTGAGGCTGCTGACACAGACTGTTCCTTAAAAATAAGTATTAGCAGAGGTCATGTGAAGTGCTAAAGTCTTTTTAGAGAGAAATTTTACATACACAGGTTTACCACAGCACACAGCTTCTGCATCTGCTGGGCCTCAGTGCTGCTTTCTTGCTGATTTAATAACTTACTGAGAGCCTTTTAAAATGCAGTTACTGAGCCTGGACCCCATATAATTAATTCCATTTATGCCCATTGTCAAGGGCAGAACCAACGGTGACCAGGCTTAGTGAGGCTGCAGACACCCCAGAGAGGGCATGCTCTTCTGCAGCAAAACTTTTATTCCCTCAATCGAAAACATGCACGTCAACAAAAAGAAAATTTGCCCCCAGCACCAGAATTTCCTTTTGGAAACCTTTTCTAAAACAATTTTCAAGAGAGCAAAACCGAGACAGAGAGGTATCAACAATTCAGTTTAGGAGACTTGCAGAGGATACTGGAGGCAGACTCCACTATCTGGACCACAACTCTCTTTTCATCAGACCTGTCCTACTTGGATACACATTTATACACAAGCAGCTAGAAAGCAAGTCTCTGCCTTTGCTGGGCATGAAAGAGACACATTCAACGTCCAGTTCTGAACCAGGCAGAGCAGAACAAAGCTGAATATTTCCTACTTAAAACACTACATCCATGGATTTAATCCAAAGCTTAGAAAAATCATAGGGAAAATTACTAGTCTTACTTCACTGCCAGCTGCTGGAAGAAATAAGCCATTTCTGCTGGTCTTACTTAATCAACTTGAATATTTGAAAGGAAGTAAAAACATAAGGAAAAAAATCTATAGAAATAATATTCACAGGATGAACTTCGTAGTTTGGATTCAATTCAAGAGCACAGTATTGTGTGTATTATTTTGACACAACTTCATTGCAGGGAGAAAATGAGATGGTTTTATCAAGAAAAGAATAATCTCCTCCTTCACTCAGGGAGCAAACCTGCCCTTCCTTGCTCTGTACCTTCAAAGGTGCAGTCTCACCTGTCCTATCCAGCAGCAGACCCAAGGCCCAGGCAGGGTGCTGGGTGCCTGGAAATGCAGGCAGAAGGGTTCACTCAGTAGAAACAAGCCCATCTCCCAGTTTATGTGGGAATGTGCTCAACTTCATCCTTTTCTTCTGGTGAGATGAAGGGGCAAGTCAGACCCATAAAACAGCCACTTGCAGGTCAGTCCTGGAAATCAGTGCATTTTTAATGGCTGAGTACTGAAAAGAGGGGGCACATTGCATACCACCAAAGAAAAACATGCCCTTCAGAGTGTGGGAACTGGCTATTGATTAATTATTAAAGTAGGAGTAATCTGAGTTAAACATTGCTTTAGCCTTGCAGTCCCTGGTTTGCTATGAGACCACTGTATGCTGAGCCCTGCTCCAGCAGCTTGTGTCCTTCCCTCTGTAGGATGAGGTTAGACCCTGCTTCCCAAAGACACTACAGAATGGGAAGCCATCTAATATAAGGCTTTCAGAAAAGGTAAAGAGCCGTCTCCTGACCATGATCTTCATTACTGCTTTTTTTACATTTTCCCACTATAAAGCAAAGGAGTCTGGCCCATAAATAATACCACTAGGGCTTTATCTCCAATTTAAATTTATCTGCTTCTGCAACAATATCTTCAGATGTATCTTTTTCTCTTTGTTGGCATGTGACTATATTTCCTTATTAACTTTTACATTTTCCATCCCTTTTTTAATTTCTACTTAGAATAAACACAGTGGCTCATGTGCCACTGTGCTGCATCCCCCAGTTATGGAGTCATACATGAAGAGGCAGGAATGGTGGAGAAAGGCAAGTGTTAACACTGGTAATACAGACTTGCCCACATTTTCAGAGAAATTATAAATTCTTTTACATTACAGAAGTCCAACACAAAGCTACCGATTATAGAGGTATAACACACTGTTCACAGTGTAATCCACAATTGCTTAGGGGAAAAAAAAACTCCAAGCAACCTGATAGCTCAGCTGCAGAGCAGATAATAAGCATGTGCAAATGATGCCACAGGGAATTTATTCCAGAACATCTCGTGCTCTAGCACTTCTTTGAGTTCCCCCTCTGCTCCCATAAACCTATTTCTGCCCACTCCAGCAGTCTGCTCCTGTACTTCAGCAGTTCCCTGGCTCTACCTCTCATTCTGCCTGGATTGTCCAACAACAAAGGTTATCTGAGGACTTTTTGTCATGCCCTGGTTCTAGGAAATCTGGAAATACCTCAATGAATTCTGCAAATCAATAAACCACATACGTAAAAGTCTTCACTGGCAGGCTGCCCCAGCAGCACCTGACTTTCATCCAAACAAGTATCGTTCTACAGAGATTAACTGAGCACCACTGTACAAACACCAGGGTCACTGGCACTGCCTGCCTCAAGAGGCTCTTGGAAATCCCCTGGTGTCCAAGCTCCAGTTGCACAGATCCAGCCTCTCCCTATTTTTCCCACACAGCAGCTCTGGGCTGTCCTTTACAGGCTGTGGTTTACATATCCTGAACCTAGAACCAGAGTTAAAAGGTGAGGGGGGGAGAAGGAGATAAAACACTTTTCTGAAAGTCACTTTTGTACCTCTCAAAATGTCCAAACACCCAAACCTCTTGTTTCTTTGTTATTCATATGAAGTCCTTTTACATTCCTTGCTGAAGTATTACAGAAGTACAAAACTGTCCTTCAGGGGAATAATACAGAGATGCTCAATGCAACCTGAAGTTAGCACTGTTACCCGTACACCCAATGCTGACATTGAATTGTCCTGAGTGACAGGATTTGCACAAGCAGAAACACAGTTGTATGGATCAACTTCTGCTTACCTGGAACAGTCTAACTCCAAGTGAGCCTGCTGTCCAGGCTGCTGCTTCCTCCCCTCCTCTGTTCAGGGATTCGAGTTGTTCCCAAATAGACAGTGCCCAGCACAGCATTTTGAGGCAAACAAAACCACACTCAACAGCTTCAAAGGCAGCAAGTGAGAAGCTGACCCATGAGCACAGTGGATGAGTGCCATCGGGTCATTGCATGACTAATCACCTTCCTCTTCCAACCTCTTCCCAGCACTGAGATCAGACCCTGATGTCTGTCCAGCTTCTGCCAGATTAACTGACAGCTGTAGAAAAGCAGGTCTAAAAACCTCTATTGGTAAAATTGTGCTAAGATACACAATAAGAGAATTACAGAAACACAGAATTAACTAGGTTGGAAAAGACCTTTAAGATCATCTAGTCCAACATATGACCCAACACCTCCTGGTGTTAGGAGGCACTGAGTGCCATGTCTAGTCTTTTTTAAAACACCTCCAGGGACGGCGACTCCACCACCTCCCTGGGGAGATGATTCCAACACAAAATCACTCTTTCAGTGAAGAATTTCCTTCTAACATCTAACCAA